TGATTAAACAACCCTTATGTATTTGCATCGGTACACGGCTCCTGGGTGGTCTTTGGGGACCCTGAATTCTGGGCATAACACTACAGTGCCACATCAGGAGTGAAGGGAGGAAGACTTCATTAACAACTTGTAATATGCAGCGGACACAATTTTGCATGCCGGAGCAAATAGGACTTGAATAATAAAATACTGATGATGATAAAACATTACAAAGGCTTAAGTATGGATTACATTTCACTGTAAAGGAAACAAAAATCCTCACAACTGGACCAATAAGCAACATCATGATTACACTGAGAAAAAGACTAAAGTTCTCAAAGATTTCATAATCAATGTCTGTGAATAGAGAAAGCAAATGACTTATTGCATTGGGCAAATCTGCTACAAAATTTCTCTTTACTTTGGGGTCAAAGGTGCCCTAACTCAAGCCATGTGTATTCAAGAGCACAGATGTCAGTTTGAGTATTAAAGTGCACCTAACCCGACTCGATGGCACTTAACAACAACAACAACAACAACCCAAGCCAAGGCATTTACAATAGCCTCATATGCATGTGAAAGGTGGACAATGACTAAGCAAGACTGTAGAAGAATTGATACATTTGCATTATGGTGTTGGAGAAGAACAGTCAAATCTGTGCTGGAAGAAGTATAGTTAGAGTGTTCCTTCGAGCCAAGATGACAGACTTTGTCTCTCATACTTCAGACATGTTGTCAAGAGGGACGAGTTCCTGGAGGTCATCATAATGGTAAAGTGGAGGGTCTGCAAAAAAGAGGAAGATTCCCAGAATTTTGTTGGGCACAGAGTTGCTCTGAGTCAGAATTGACTCAAAGGCACCTAATAACAATAACTCACAAACCATGGCATTTTCAATGATCTCGAATGTATGTGAAAGTTGGACAACGAATAAAGAAGATCCAAGAAGAACTGATGCATTTGAATTATAGTGTTAGTAAAATAATTTACCATAGACTGCCAGATAATGAACGAATCTGTCCTAGAAGAAGCACAGCCAAAATGCTCCTCAGAAATGAAAGATGGTGAGACACTGTCTCATATACTTAGAACAAGTTATCAAGAGGGACCAGGTCCTGGAGAAAGGTTGATGAAAAAGGAAGATTCCCCAATCAGATGGATTAAAACAACAGGCTCAAACATTACGACAATTGTTGAGGATGGCACAGGAGTGGGCAGTTTTTTATTCTGTTGTGCAAAGGGTTGACTCAGTGGCACCAAACAACAACAGTAATTTTATATATCTGTATATATGTTTGTATGTATATGTATTAGTTATTTTGGTTTTATTCTTTGTTTATGTGTGCCATCAAGTCAGTTTCAACTCAGAGAGACACTGTATATGATTTCCAAGAGCAGTTGGTGGATTTGAACTGCCAACCTTTCGGTTATTGGTACAGTGCTTATCCTACAGTACCACACCAGGGCTTATATTTTATATAAATAGTCATATATATTCTCATTGCTGCCTCTGAAACTTTCCCTCTTACCATCTGAATTACTGTCCTAGTCCACATATCATCACACAAACATTCTATAGAGTTTGTTTCTCTGCTTAATGACTTACTCTATTTTTGCAAATATTGTCTTCCAGAATATATGTAGACACTGAAATCTACAGTTAAAGATTTCCTTGAATCTCAGGATAAAACAAACAAACAAAAATCTTCCCCACATCCAGAATCTTCTGAGGGGAAATTTCCACTTGAAAGGACAAGCAAACTATCCTTGAGCAGCCAGAAGAACAGAAGATACTTCTTGAAAGAAAGACTGACAGGAAAAATACAAAACAATATAGGTAGACCGACTGATTACTACAAGAACAAACAAGTGGCTCGCCCAGGAGACATCAAGGCATGTGGTCGGGTCTTCTCAGGGCAAACCTCCTTCTAAGACTAAGACTCAATGGGAATACACGCTCTGATTGGTGACCACGTTCATCACCGATAAGGGGAAGTGAGGGAAAAACAGCAATGAAGCTGCAAGCTAAGCCCTACAACATTCAATAAACTGCTGTGAACCCGGGTGGAGACCTGGTTGGCCAGCAGTGTGGCAATTCAGGGGGCTCTTGGATCCAGAGTCAGTGACATAGCCACAAAGGATTAGAGTGGAGAGTGAAGCGTCCAGCTGATAAGAAGAGAGGGTGTATGCACAAGAACACCCACACTTGCACATAATATCCATTTCAATGGCTGGGTGATCAGAGCTCAACTAGAAGAAGAAAGAAGAGGAAAAAATAAAAAGGAATCTGATACAATTTGAAGAACTTGACCTACACCTATGGATGTGGTAGATCAAAAGAGGGAGCAAATCTTTCCAGCGAGGATAATTCCCACCCCCTCGATACACAGGGTAGACAGGATGGGCAACTTGGACATTGGCTACCCAAAATGGGGTGACTACAAAGGCAAGAAGGACAAATAACCCAATTAAAAATGGGCACAGGACATGAACAGACACTTCACCAAGGAGGAGATCCAGGCAGCCAACAAACATATGAAGAAATATTCATGATCACTAGCCATTAGAGAGATGCAAATCAAAACAACAATGAGATACCATCTCACACCAGCAACAATAGCAAAGATCAAAAAAAGTAGAGGACAATAAATGCTGGAGAGGATGCGGAGAGACTGGGACCCTCCTACACTGTTGGTGGGATTGCAAAATGATCCAACCACTCTGGAAAGCAATATGGCGCTTCTGCAAAAGGTTGGAAATAGAAATGCCTATGATCCAGCAATTCCTCTACTTGGTATTTACCCACAAGAAATATGAGCCATAACGTGAGTAGATATATGCATACCAATGTTCATAGCAGTACTATTTACAATAGCAAAAAGATGGAGACAGCCTAAGTGCCCACCAATTGAAGAATAGATAAACTGTGGTACATACACACAATGGAATACTATGCTACCCTGAAGAACAACAAGGAAGCTGCAAGCCACTGCATAACATGGATGAACTTTGAGGACATTATGCTGAGTGAAATCGGTTATAAAAGGAGAAATACTGCATAGGACCATTACTGTAAAAGAGTAAGAAAAAGAACCCACACTAGAAGGGGTAAAAACAATTATATATACATACATACATACATACATACATATATATAAATGCTGATCAGTAGGATGTATGGGATGAGAGGAGGGGAGGAAGGGAGGGGAAGATAGAGCACAGGGTACGGAATAGACACAGGCAAGCTTGGGGAGGGGGCAATACTCAAGAAGTGGGAGGGGAGCGGAAGAACAAGGCTGATGCGAGAACAGTTAGGCAGGCTCGCTCGCTTAGGCTAAGTGGGACAGAGGTAATAATGATATATGCACAACCTTGGAGCCACAGGGCTCCAGGATACAGGGATTGAGGGTTTGAAGGGATAAAAGAAGGGAATAATGTTAAGATGCTTGGCTGTCTTTTGAATATTGGTTTCCCTTGCCTACTATTGTAAAATAGACACTTGGGGGCAGGGGGAGAGGGGGAAGGAATAGCCAGAATCATCACTACAGAAAGTTTGTAAGTCCGTCTTCAGCCTATAACTGATTGGAATAATTTAAAGGGTGCTAGAAGTTGCCCAGTGAAAGAGGCTTCCTATGGAGCCTTTATACTGCACAAGACCATAGGTGGAATCCAGAACCCCATCCAGAACCGACTGAGGTACAAAATTTCCACTGGAAAGGACGAGTAGACCAGCCTGGAGTGGTTAGAAGAACAGAAGATACTTCGTGAAAGAAAGACCGGGAGGAAAAATCCGAAGCAGTCTAACTGATTACTACAAGAACAAATAAGCTGTTCACCCACCCAGGAGCCATCAAGGCAAGTGGTCGGGACCCCTCAGAGCAAATCCCCTTCCAAGACTGAAACTCAAGGGGAATACATGAGCAGAAACGTGATCTGGCTGGTGACCATGTTGGTCACGGAAAAGGGGAAAAGGGGGAAAAAACAGCAATGAAGTTACGAACTAAGCCCGACCATATTCAATAGACCCCTGTGAACCTGGGTGGAGACCTGGATGGCCAGCAGTATGGCATGACCCGGGGACTCCTGGGCCTAGAGGCAGTGACATGGCCACAGAGGACTAGAGTGGAGAATGAAGTGTCAGCTGATATGAAGTGAGGGCAGATGCTCAAGATCATCCTTCCTTGCAGATAGTACCCACCTGACCTGGCTTCGAGGGCTGGATGATCAGAACTCAACTAGAAGAAGAAGAGGAGGGAAGAAAAAAAAATAGAGTAACCTGCTACAATTTGATGAACTTTACCTATACTTATGGATGTAGTAGCTCAAAAAAGGAAACAAATCTTTACAGCGAGGATCACTCCCACCCCCCTTGGTACACAGGTTTGACAGGGATGGGCAACTTAGACATTGGCTACCCCAAATTGGGGGTACCTATAAAGGCAAGAAGTAGTAACTGGCTTACGAGCTTTCAAGAGGAAGCCTAGTTCCAGATGGGGCAGGGGAAGGTAGAATCACCACTGAATGATTTACAATCTGTGGGGACCGGGCTGGCAAGGAAATCATTAACTGAACATTAACTGAGCACAAGCTAAGAAACAAAAATTTGTGTCCACCCACATCCTCCCCAATTGTTTCCAAGGATTCCTTGCGAGAGACTGGACTGCTAACTAGAAGGTTGACGGTTCAAATCCACCAGTCGCTCCTCAAAATGTGTTGGAACCAACTCCATGATACTTAACGTTTCCAAACTGGTTCTGTGCTGGAACCCTCTTCCAACAAATAGCCAGGCTTACATGAAGTCCAAAGTGAAAGCATATGATCTTCTCAGGTAATTTCTGAGCATGTATATATGGCTTCCTCAATTCCCTGAATATTATACAATACTTTTAAAAGCCTTAATTTCCAAAAGGAACTTTCTCCCCACCCTCTCTTTGCAGTGTTTAGGCACCTAATTTAGGCCTTCATTGTACTCTTTAGCCCTAGGTGGCTACATCAGTTACAACTTTAGTTTGTTGAAAACGAAGACGAATTCTGCATTTATCTGGGAAAGCAGCAAGGAAGGGACTGAGGAGGGGGAATAGAGGGAGGGGTAAGGGAGCTGAATGCTTCTAAATTCGTAAGGTTTAGAATTAGAAAATACAACAGTGCTTATAAAAAAGAATGAAGAAAGAAAATTGGAGATCAACTGAAAGGTACAAAGAACAGAGGAGAGGATGAGATTACCAAGGCACAGTGAATTATTACTACAAATGTATGTCTTGGTTACACCTATTCAGTCAAAGGAAACCAGGACATGCACAATCATTACTTTGGGGCCCAATGTTAACACTGTATTATCAGGAAATAACAATTGTAACCCAGGATAAAATCATCATGCAGGAAAACTTCAGAGAAGCAGTCCATAAGGAAATCTAAATCAAATGCTTTCCTTATATACTTACCATTGCAGCCTTCAGTGCCACAGAATCTAGATTGGGCAAATTTGCTAAAGAGCCCTAAAAACAGTAACAGAAAACAACATAAAATAAAGGTGATACACATTTAAGTTCACTTATATAATTCACAATATAGTCAATTAGTGAACTGCCCAAATTTGGAATACCATTTAACTTATTTCCAAAGAACTAAAGGTATTATCTTTTCAGCCCTAATAAAAGCAGGGACTAGCTTTATTAATTTTTAAGGTCTGATTTATACAATTTTGTATATTAGCATTGAAAGCACTCAACAATATTTCTGGAGGAATGGAAAACCAATTTACTAAAAACAACAATACCAAAATACTCCAGATATATTCATAAGTAAGAAAAAGAAGGCAATGACGTATTTAGATGACATGAGTGACATGAAGGCTTGAAGGGTTTCACTGTTACAATTTTACTAAGTACAGAAAGGCAGCAGAATTGGTTCCTACTGGTAGAATTTTGTATACTATCAAAGCAAGACAAAGAAAACCAGAACAACGGATTATTGAGAGCTTCATTTTAGAGTTTCTGCTATAGAAAATATACATGTCAAACTTCATCTTAATGTCACTCAAAATAATTCTTTGCTATTTTTAAAGAAAGATGCTTTCATGGCTTTTAAGAATTTTTATCATTCCATTGTCTATATTTCCTGGGGTTCTATAATTTAACAAGTTATGTTTACAACAGAGGCATTGGCAAAAAATTATATTTCCAAAGTAATCTTTACACAACTTGCTAAATTAAAAAGGGGATGACTGCTGTTTATACAATAATCTATCCCATAGGGTAACAGACAATGATAGAGAATGCTGAAAAAGTCATGGGTATGAGCACCCTTAAAACATTTATAATAGTTTAGTTGTATTAATTTAACATTAATAATTTGTTTAGTTGTATTAATTTAACCAAGGCTATTGGTAGTAATGAGGGTAGTTAAGAAACTACCTGTATTACCCTCACTTAATCTTCAGAACAGCCTATGATACAGATACAATCACTGCTGTCAATCTTTAGATGAGGCAACAGAGAGAAAGAGAGAGCGAGCTAAGCCACTTCCCTAATGCCACGCAACTATTAAGTGGTGGAGTTAGAATTCAAAACCAGTACGACTCTAGAGTGCATACTCTGAACTAGTACATTTCTTTAACCAGACAATCTATTTGCTTACCTGTTCAGGTTTATGTTGTTGTATGGTGTTATAGATATAACTCAAGCCTGCTCTAGTTAAAACATAAGAAGCTTGCTCATTTATAAGTGTGTCCAAATGTGCTTCAATCTGAAATAGAATACAAAGGAAACATTTTTCAAAAAATAACATGAAGACCAGAGTACCCTGGTATCTTCACTCTTCATGGTGGGTATTTTTGGTAAAGTGGTACATCCTAGGAAGCAAAAGAAGTGCTTCTGTGGCAAAGCTTTTTTTTTTTTTTTTCCTCACTCAAACAGGAAATCCTCCCAAAATGGAGAAGGAAACTTACTTTAAAATAAAATACGATAATTGAAGAGGATTTCAGACTTAGTCACTAGCCAAAAAAGGTTTGGGTTGTTTCTCAGCTCTTTAAAAAGCTGGTAATAAGCAAAAATAAACAAAGAAACAAGATAAAAACATAATAATAATAACAGCAAAAAATACAACACTTATAATTTTGGAAAAATGAGGGCCTGATGTTCCTGACTTTGCTCTCCAACTGTTATGGACTGACAACAAATAAAATACACTTCAAAGTAGGAGATCCCCAGGGGAAGGTACAGTCCCCACTGAATAGTTTTCATCCTGTCTAGACGAGTCTGGTGAAAGGAGATGGGGGATAAGATTCTTCTGATTCAACAGTTATTGTTATCATGACTAATTGCGACTGTCACAACTGTAAAGGTAGAAGTTTTGTAACATTAAAGGGGGGAGCAGTTAATCTTACAGTTCAGAAACAGAGGACCCTAGGACCATCAAGAGAAAAGAGACGAGCAGAATGTGGAACCCTATCCAGAGAAGCAGTGACACTAGAGATGGAGGCAGAGATGAGGACATGGAGAGAGGGAGCAATTGAGGACTCTAGACTCATGAAAAGAGAGGGACTGGGTGCTAGAAGCCAGGAGGTAGGCTTGTAGAATGTTCCCTTTGGTTGTTTAAATGAGTATATATTCCTGAGTGTGTCTGTGTGCATCCCTCCTCCCCCCAAAAAAACAAAACAGAGGGAATAGAAGCAAATACTGTCAAAAGATGATGCACGGAAGAGATTATAATCATTACAATGAAATGATGGTGTAAAACCGATGTTCCCTTGTAAACTATCAAGAGAAAAAGATAAAATAAATTTTAAAAATACAAAGTAGGAGATCCCGTGGGGGCTGGCAGATTATGTTTACCTGAAAAATATAGATCTGTAAAATTCAGGAGGCAGTTACTGGTTCAGCAGAACTTTTGTCAAAGATTTCAGGTGCAGGAATTGCCTAGAAGGCCTGGTTAGGAGATGCAAATGGAATGGCTGTGGCTGCTTTTCAGAAGCCACCCAATAGGGCAGAAGCCAAAATGGGGGACTATTCTGATGGCTTGATACATTTTGTCATGGGAAGAATACTACTCCTAGCTTATTTCTACCAAAGCAGGCCTGGGAGCCTGGAGGTCTTCTTTCTACCCCTCACCAGGACATTCTCTCAGTTTTACCAGCTTGTTTCCTACTGACAGACCATTACACTGGGAACTAATATAAATATCATCAGAATGCCTGTCATTATTCAAACAACTCTGACAGCTGAATACTTCACACACACACACACAACACACACACAAAAACTACAACTAAGTTATATATCTAAGAGTATACCAATCTGAATAAGCAAAAACATTTTTTTCCTAAAACAACAGTACTTGGTAAAGGCACCAAATAAATATTTTAATCTTTTTTTTTTTTTAAATAAACTGTACAAGCGAACACCATGAGACCGTTAGGTTTTGGGTCTAGTTGCCTGGGTCAAGATGTAGTCATATCCGGGATGAAGAGATCCAATGTAATGTTATCAGCTCTAGGATTAGATCAGATATGAGCATCCAATCAATCAGAAAGAAGTTTCCTCAGGAATGTGTGGTCTACTGCCAATGTATTAGACATTCAGGGAAAGCTTGCTTGCTTTCTGCTGGGTCTGGATCCTGCATTGAGCTCGTCATCTGGTTTGAGTCACTGGCCTGCACTACTGTCTGCCAGAACTGGAAGTCTTCCGCAGCCTGCCATCTTACCTGTCTGACTGTCCAGCCTGCTGTCTGACCTGCTGATCGTGATCCACAGGAGCCAGAACTTGAGATTTTCCCAACTTTACACTGTATATAATTTCCTTGATATAAACTTCTCTTTATGTATACATACATAAGCTTCACTGATTTTCTTTTCTGAAGAACTCAGCCTAAGACCATTAAAACCAACACAAGGCAAACTGGAAAATTAGAAAACAAACACACACACACAAAAAAACAAGATCTACAAATGTAAAGATTTAATGAAAGTAAAACATAGGAGCACTACTGCTAAGAGCCAAGTTAGTGGTACACACACAAAAGAAAAGAAAAATGAAATACAGAGATAACATCAAAGAAATAGCTTATAAGTGCTATAAGAATAAACTAGAGAACAGATACACAGAAATGGAGATATAAACAACAAAAGAAAGGAGCTTCACAAAGCACAAAGTAACAAATGGAGAATAATTAGAAATAATAGAATCTTTGAGAGGAAGAAAACAAATTTTAAACTGCAATGTATCTCTGAAGTCCGAGATGAAAATAATGGAAAGTGAGACATATCTATGTATAAATATCTTGGAAATGTCAGAACTCAAAGCAGCAACAAAATAATTTTAAGATTATTTTTAGAAGGAGAAATTTAGAGAAGGGAAGGATAGTACATTGTTATGCCAACCTCACAACTGTTGCCACGTTTGAGCCCACTTATGCTGCCATTTTCCTAATCCATCTCACTGAGGGGTCTTCCTCTTTTTCTCTGACCCTCCACCTTACCAAACATGA